TAGCATGAGGTCTTAACATGAGCCCAATGAAGTCCAAAAAAAAATCAAACGTCCACAGAATATCCAAAAGAATTTGAAAGAGCTTTGAGTAGATTTATCAATGTTAGCTTTGTTCCAACAACAGTACTGAACAGTTCTAAACTTTTCTATGCATATGTCTGTATTTTATCTATATTTTCGTTATAGAACAAATAATATTTAACATAATATGCATAATTATACAAACATAAATTCGACTATACTGTCTTAACAGCAAATAAACACGTGCCCAACATAATTAAAAAAAATGAATAGCCAAACCACCCACTTAAAAATACAAATCACTTTATGTAACTAAATAAATCAAAATAAACCAATTTAAAATTAAATAAGCCACAATTTGTGACCGACATAATTTATCTTGGATTATTCCATCGATTAAATCTATTAAATCGATCCATTCTCATCCTGACAGATACACATCAATTTTCGAAACAAACCGACACTCCCAGAAAAGCAAATTATGTAATAATATATTACGCTAAATACAATTCTGACGGCACGAACCGTTAAATCCATTAAAAAATAAAAACTTCATGTACAGTTCAAGAATTTTCGCCGGTACAAAAAAATATTTTAACAGAACGTTGCTTTGCGGCAAAAAAAATCCTACAATTTTTCTAATTTGCATGTGTTTTATTTTAATAAATTGTACATAATCACTTAGATTGGCCGTAATGTCATAGAGAATGGATTACTGGGTTATAAAATTACCTTCTGATGTGTCATTTTATTCGTTTTAAAGGACGACTATCGAGATCGTTGGTAAAAAATATAGTTGAAAGTAATTGGAAAATGCTATATTATTATAGTTTTGAAGTGTCGTGTTAGTACACAGTTATACAGGTCGATAAGGAATAAAATGGCCCACGATGTGCGCTTTGAGAGAACATTAGAGACAGCAATAATTATGTCTATAATAAAAAAATACCTAAATACACAGATAATAGATTGACATACAAAATTGAATCAATAATATAACTGTCAATGAGCATATATAGTATAATACAAATTTTTATAATGTTGATTTAATATCTAGCAATATTCAGTACCTACTTATTTTCTCAAGTTTTTAAAAATTTGCGTTATCAATTTTCACATAAAAGCTTTTGGGGGATATTTCTTCATCTTCAATGATTATTTAACTTTTCTTTTATGAGATTTCTCAAATCAAATGGACAACCCTAAATTATTTCCTGCCATTATGCGAATCTTGTTTGCATTTCCTTGTTTTTAGAGGAAACTAAGCACTCGAAACATAAAAGAATTAATAATAATTTCGTTAATATTCCGTTACAAAACGAAACTCTCGTTTCTCTTCCCGCAATACCGGCAAAGTTTGCGCGAATTCTTACATAATCCGTGCCGAAATTACGTAACGAAGTTGGGCTCTTTCCCTAATAGAACAACAGACATGTCCGTGCATAATTTTGTGTAAATAATGTCGAATTCTGAATAAATAATTGAATTTGAGTGACATGAATTAATGTTCAGTCTTTCCGCAGCTTCAGTTAGGTGGTGTGTTTCGTGCGTAGGCAGCTATGAAACTTTTATCCGCCTGTTTATTATTCAAGGGCGAAGAAAGAGATGACGAAAAAATCGTAGGTAAGTACAAAGCAGTCTACAAATGGACTGATCAAACGAAATTGTACAATTTTACTTTTTGGGTTGAAGATAACTGTGAATAGGTTACACCGCAATGGCCGATTTCCACAGCCAATGACCTCTGCAAATAAAAGTAGGCATAATCATTCAAACCATAAATTTAACAATAGTTAATTCATCGATACAGGACGATGTCGCCTAATTGGGAAAATCGTGTCTTAATAAAACCTTAGTTGTATTTAAAACAGTAAAAATAAGTCGGAGCGAAATGACCATTTTCTCGTTCCTATTTAGGAACACCGACGAATAACATTAATTTTTATCTGTATAGGTATAATAAAAAGCAAATATTTAATATTCAAATCATTTACGGAGGTTAAAAGCCGAAACTCGAATATATTCTAAAAGAGAAATATCTGCCTATTTAAATAAAGGTTATTGTACCCGACTGGCGAATTTAAATAATTAAAATATTAATTCCCTATGTGTGTATAATATTGCCCATGAATTGCAAAGAAAAATTGAATGCTTAATATAACTAATTAGTGTGATTTATGATTTACGAAATCCTAACGAAAAACATAACTAATATACGCAACAAACACTGCGTTCTGATTACAATAACCATAGTACCAAAAGAAAGTCTACATTACCTCTATATTCAGCATTAATTGTACATGGATAACAGTGATAAAAAATGCATTTAACGAAAATGTAATAAATTTGTTCACAATTTGAAACCGTATTTCAAAAATTAAATCATTATTGTAAAACGAAAAGTCTGCTCGAATAAAAATTTTGACAGTGATTTCTGCTAACAAAAATAATGGGCAACCAAATTTAATTTTCCATCCAAAGTTTTGTTTTGTTTGGGTTGTTCTATTTTCATTTTAGGAAAATCAATGCAAAAATATTCCAGGATTTTTAAAATGTATGTACATACATACAAAATATATCGGTGTAATTCGTTTGCTTAATTTTAATAGAACAACGCAGAAAAACTTAATTGGATAGAAATGCTTGTCTTGCACAAAAATTATCAACTCCTTAAGTGTGTCAATACAGGAAATGCTAAATTACTAGTTTTCAGATATCAACTAAAAAAAAATGATAAAAATATACAGACTCAACCACAAAAAAGTAAGTAGGTACAATTTTAAATGAACTAATTAGTAATTTTTTATACGCAAAAATAATTTATATGCCAACATTTTAAGTAGAACTTTATCATCTTCATACTTTTTTGTACGAATACTGGGTTTGTCGATAATGTACCTCACAGTATAGCGATATTAAATGTTTAAATCAGTTTTCTCAGTGTAAACGTATTACTTTCACGGCAGTTAATAAATTTGTAAAAAGGTTAAGTAGTAATGTTCATGCAATCAAAATCCACTTACCTAGATTCAACCAATTCGTTAGCTCGGCCGAATTAGACAAACCTACTCGCTCGTTTAAAACGTAAGAAAGTTAAGTTCTATTCTGTAAATAAGATGATTGCCCTAATAATTTTCAAGCAAATATTTATTACGGCAAGCTGGAATATGGGCAGTTAAAACGAAACTGGACGATTCCAACTACCTACATAGGTCAGACAACTACATTAACATAATAATAAATTTGTCACAAAGTCAATCAAATAAAAATTAATAGGAGTTTTTATTGAAACAAAATGAAACAAAGTGGATAGTAGAAAAGGTAGAAATATAATTCAGTAACTAGATAAAAATGGCTCTGTTAGTAATAATGATCATGTCTTTCTATAAATTAAGTGTCTATTTTTATGTTCACGAAAAATACAAATATCGACAGTAAAATGCAAATCAAATGGTGTGTCTTCCTTAATAAAATGCACTAAAATATCTACTGACGCAGATGAGGATATGCAACCGTTTTAAACAGCAATAAATATCAGATTTGATCGAAAATGTTCGTGCACAACCGTCCAGAAAGGGTGCAACTGTGCGAGCGTACAAAGGTTTTATGTTCATCGATGCCCCGTGGTGCAGCGTGATTCACGACTTACAAATTCAAAAATAAATCATTTGCATGAAGGAACCTCGCGCCGCACGAAAATTTTGTTACCGGCCCAAAGACCAATTCGAAAGGTGCACGTTCTAGTATCGCAAGCCCTTCTATAGTACCGATTTTTTTTTCTAAAGCTTCTAACAACAAAAATCTATAAACAAAGAACGATAGGAAGATGCTTAAAGTTAAACAATAACCGTCTCTACAAAATTCTTGCTTCATGTAGGTAGAACTTGATTAAATTTTAATTTTTGCCGGTAAAATTACGAACAATCTATGTAGGTATTGTATATGTATAGTTCACGATAATGAAATTTCTCTATACACTTATGAAATTTATATAAGCATAACACTATAGCGAGGAAGTCGAATAATTTAGTTTGGGATTTTGTTATGTGAAAATTTTATTAATAATATGTAAATTGGAAAATGTGAGTAGGTGTATAAGTAGATTTAATGATGTGCCTGTATATAAACTGTTCTAAAAAGAACGTTTACATTGTTCGAAAATACCTGAGGTAGTGATAGAAAGGAGAAAAATGAGACCCATCCAAATCTGTATACAGCATTTTTATAACAAGATATAGGTAGGTAGTGTGTTGTAACATATGTAGGTATTAGAAAAAAAAATGTTAAACAAAGCAAAGAAGATTTAGTACTTGAATTAATAACGGTATTGTAAAAGTGTCATGTATCATTTTTAATTTTAAAAGAGATAATAGATACAAATAACATATACATATCACCAAACAGCATTCATATAAATGTACGTTAATCAATAATCTCTATTTAAAGGAAAATAATTACTTAAACACCTAATAGCAAAGTTCATAGAATGATTTATATAAAAAGTAATTAAAAATAACCATTAAACAAATAAGCATACTCTTGAAATCTTTTCTATTTTGGGCAATAGTATAGGTGGTAATGTTTTCATTCTTCGTATACCTACTCCCTTATACAAAATAATGGATAAATTTGTATTCAATTTTCCTTATTACTTTTATTACTAAGCATTTTTGCCCTGGCTGATCAATAACTTCCAGAAAATTTCCACGACCCTACCCTACTAAACGACCCTATACAAGTTATTTCAAAATAGGTACAAATACAATATATAGAAATGAAAAAAATAGAAGGTGTCGAAGTTAGGTAAGATAGAATCCCGGAAAATAAGATATATGAGAGAAATAGTCCATTAAAATTGTAACGATTTCGCACAAAAAGCAGTCACCGATTTCCACTGTATTTTTCACAAAGTTCACAATTCTTCCTCACTGCACTGATACACTGATAATCCAAAAAACACAAAAGGACAGCAAACTCACCTATTCTTTTCCAGTTCGTTATGAGATGTCCTGCAATAAACAGAAAAAAAAACGATTTAATATCGAAACCTATTTGGAAACCATTAGAACGTAAGTTAAAAAACAATTAACCAGCAACAAACACGGTGTTATAACAATTTTTTTATGTAACCATTACGTCACGTTTACTAAACAAAACTAAATTACTAAAATGGTCTATCATTCGAATCTTGACCTACTCCAACAACAAAGGAAACGCTTTTTCTGCAAAAGCAAATAGAGCGTGTGATGAGTACGAACTGTATAGGGTAATGTAAAAAAAAAGATTTACAAATTACGATAAAATCCCTTGCAATAAATTTGTAATAAATGTGTAAAAAAATCAATAAACTATTATAGGGGTAAAATGTTTTTTTTTCGTGTAATATAGTTGATAATGTAATTAGATTAATATTAGAAGGTACATTGTAGGTATTTAGTTCTGGCGTGCATTTATCCAACGAGCCAGCCGTGCCCATCGAGAGAACAAAGAAACAGTAAACGAAGAGAGCGTTCGGCCCGACGTGAAACTCACCTGTTTCCCTGAGATTTTTTCGTTTTTGGCCTTTTCGACACACTTCTGAGATCATCTGGAAAACGCAACGTCGAAGCGTACCCGTGCTCCGCTTCTGCAACAACAAAAACAAATACCAATCAAAAACAGCTGATTCGATAGTACGAAAATAGACGTGTACAACACGGTCGTAATTCGCGAAAAAAAAAAAATAATAACCCGTCGGTACGTACCTCTTTCTCTTCGGGCTATGTACTCGGCGGCTTCCAGGAGCGTTTCGATCGAGTTCATATTACGAGTGGGAATTTTTTTAATTCGGAAATTCGCGAAGAGAAAGCCGCAACTCGCTCGGAATGGAAATGCGATCGGACACTTGTACACCCGTACGACGGCGGCAGCAAACTGAAAACTGACACACACGCACGCACGCCGCGAACTCGAACTCGCGATGGTCGAGTCGAGTCGATTTATCGATGTATCACTCGGGCTGGTTGGCTCTGTTGGCTTGGCTCGGCTCGCTAGCTTTTGCTTTTGCTTTTGCTTTTGCTTTTGCCGTGCCGTGCGGCCTGTTTGTGCCACCGAGTTACGCTTAATCTACATGCGCAACCGACCGACCCGACCGACGGTCCTTTCCTCTTTGTCCCATCGAAGGCTCAAATCGAATGCCTACATTTTTTATACTTTGTCTAATTCTTATCAGAGTATCGTCATATTTTATTGCACCCCTTTCTTAGCTTATCTCATACATTGCATTCTCAAACACATTCTTTGGTGCCGGTCTACCCTACCGCATCTGGTTTAGTAAGCGGTCTACCCAAATTCATTTTATACAAAGTAGATATTTATTATAAAGTGTTAGAGCAAGATTTGGAAAATTGACCTTTCACTAAGCAAAAGAAAAATTTTTACTGGTATTTATGGAACAGCGTGGGGATAATTCTATTTACCGACAATTGGGGAAGTACCATTATTTATTTAAGCGTGAAATATACCCAATTTTCATTGAATAATGCTCTATCGACAAGTACTTGTGCACAACTTCCAACTTTTCAATTTTCTATTAGTATTACTACTTCTCCAGGTACTTCTAAATGATATGTCGGTCGTAATATAAATACACTGTAGATTGTTGCTTCTGATGCTAGATGAGGAATGGGTGCCTGTCTAGTATGCGGTCGACCATAATATTTGCGGTCTACCTACATATTTCGTCACCCAAGTATTATTTGAATACTTTGACAGGTGTCATATTTTGCAAAATTGAAATTGGTTGTGAATAAGACTCACAAAACTGCAAATGTTTGTCCAATTAAACTTTTTTCTATCTCCTACAGTGTCCGAGATCCGCGTATTAAACATCGAAAAAAACTCACCCTGTATAATTCTGGTACATCTGTAATTCTCTGTGAATTGATCAAAAACTTAGATCAAAAATGGCACTTTCCATTTGAAATAACGAAATTGACATCTACTTCCGGTCTAACCGGAAATCATATATGGTTAATTGGTTAAACATATTTAAAAAAAAACCTACAACATTTGTTATTTATACCTTTCTCCTAAATTTTCAGATTAGTAACTCTTCAGGAATTGTTACAGTGAAACGCACTGTATATCATCTGTCTGTCAATAAGGTTCTATCAAAGTATGCGTGCCACCTGTCAAACTTAACAGATATTCTGTGACAATGTGACAGATAACAGGCACACTTTGTTAATTATTTGTTAATTTGTTAATTAACGTTGTTAAATACTTTGTTAATTAACTCTTTTGACAGTTCAAATTTCCATTAGTGAAATTGAAACTGTTGCATCTCTATATGCTTATTACTTGAAGGAATGGATTATATTACTGATCTAAAGAGATATAAGAATGTACAAAAATGTTTTAATAAAAAAAACTTTTTACATTTCCTTAACAGGTTCGATGTTTAATAAACGCAGAGAATTGTGGAACACACATTGCAATGCCTTCAAAAGATAAATTCTTGCGTGTATAATGGAAAACATGTGCTCTTTTGGATTCTAAAATAAAAAAAATAAGATTTAATATAAATGTAAGTTTCCTATGCATATTATCTAATATACACCTTGTTTCATTTCAATTTGCAATACGGTCATTTCTATGAGTTGAACAAAGAAAGAATACTAAAATGACAGGTGTCAGAGTGAGAAGTTGCAATGACACAATATCACTCTTTCTTTTTCCTTTATAAGTGCCTAATGGAAGTTGTCTTTATCGCACCCATAGCCTATATCACCTATATTGCAAAATAAAATGAACCAACCTGTATAAATGTTTTATTGTTAATTCGTATAATATATCAAATTAATGGTGTAAAATGTATAAAAAAATATACCATACCGTCAATATGCGCACTCTTCTGTAATAAACACTGAAAACAGAACATAAGTTTGATAAGAACGATATCAAATATTGAGGATTGAAAATTTCTTTTTCAATGTCTTTAATACAACTGTTGATAACTGTGGGATACTGAAGTATATAAACATAAAATAATTCCCATTCTTCCTAAAATAATAGAATATACTAGAATACATAATTTGATAATTTCATGTAATTATACTCACTGGCTGATTAAGTAATGAAAAATCCATATTGTCTATTTTTGGTAAATCAGGATATTCATTTCTTTCGACCCTTTTATTAAATTCTTTGAATAAGGCTGCTAGTCTTGCACAATTATAAAATATAAACGAAGGCCCTGCATAAGAATAAATAAGTTAAAATATTAGTTCATTGTTATAGTGTTTTTAATACCTTTATTGGCAGATTGAAGATCGTGTGGACTAATTTTGATAGATTTTTGTGGTTTGTTGGTCAGCATTTCTACGGTTACAGAAGCTCTTCCTAATTTTTCAAAATAAGTTTCCCACGATGAATTAGGTTTTATTTGGACACCATATTTATGTTGAGCCATCATTCTCATATCAGAGGATCTTTTACTAAAAAATTACCTTATTAAAAATTGACATTATTATTCAACTGTGTACTTACAGATATAATTCACTAGTTGTATAAGAACTTTTGGTTCCTTTCTCATTTATTACTGGTCCGCATAATATACATTTACTATTATCAATAGAATTTTTAACAAGGTATATTAAACTCTCTCCTTCCGTGTTATCTGATGTGGTAAGTTGAATAAAATTTGTTGCTATATCTTTCAGTAAAATAATTCTCAATGTACTCAAATCTAATTGTTGCGTATTTGACTCGTCTACGTCAGGAATTATTTTTAATTTTACATTATTTTTGAAAAGATCGCTCGACCCAAATTTGTCATTTAAATCCAGCACCTGTTTTATAACAGCCCGGTACAAATTTGAAGAACGTTTGATAAATACATGAGCGTCATTATTTCTATATATAACCTCTTTTACTTCGATCGTCCATTTCGAACTATCCTCTATTAGTCTTTTAGCAACCTCATCATCCGAATGTGGATGATTATAATGAATTATTGAAGACACATCGGATTTACTACCTGCTGTTGAATCGATATACTGATACCAGTTGTTAATATTTAGAGGAAAACTAACATCTCCAAGTTCATTCAGTTTTTTCGTGTGCCTTCTTATTAAATTGTGCTGTACACAATTGGGTCCTGTTAGGAATTCTTGTATATTTGAAATAAACTCTTCTAGTACATCGGGCATTATCTTAATAGTCTATTTTTAAGGAAAATTAACAATAATAAATTAAATTGACTGACAACTGATAGAACTTATAACCTAAAAATGTCTTCTTTTCTTTTAAACTAATTTGACAATTTACGTTTCAGGAAAATAGAAATTTTCTGAACGAATACCTACATAGTAGAAGGCTTGCTGTTGTTGTATTTGTAATTTTGATGTACAGGGTGTCCCACGACGCTGTATTTTAATATATTTTTGAAATCAACGTAAAATTTTAGGATACTTTATTCTAAAACCCTTTTTTCTATTTTAATGAAATCGGCGGTCAAAAATAAGGGAAATTCATATTTACTTCCCTATACCTAAACCTTAATATTTTACATAGCACTTCAATTTCTGCCTCATTTCAAATTAACTCGGTTTTATAAGTTGGCAATGTAATTCAATTAACAATCAATTATTCAATACTTGTACTTATTATTTCCTACAGGACTTTGCAAAAAAAAGAGTGTAAAAAAGAAGTATAATTTATTTACCGAAAAACGTTACGCAGTAATGATTGATTACATTACAATGTAAAAAGAGAAAGCACAAATAATCAAGCATAACAAATAATGTTGATTGATATAAATTGAAATATGGAGCTTACAAGATTTAAAAGGTATAATACGAGTAAAATAAATAATGGTTAATTTGTTAAATGTTCATTTAAAAAAGATTTGACCTATTATGAATCATCAAATGTCATTCTTCCGAAACCGTGGTTCTTGATGTGCCTTCGGTACTGTTTGTATTTGTTACTTTCTGCTAACTGTTTTTTGGCGTTTTCTTCTTCTTGCTTAAACCATTCCTTGAAATTTTCTTTTATCCATAACTTCGCATTCAAAAACTCTTGCACCTTGCTGTCATCTTGGCTATTGAATTGGTGGACGCTCATTTTCATGTTTTTTCTAATAATGTACAATTTTTCTTCCTCGTTGTACGGTTGTTTTAGTAAAGTGTGTCTCCAAAACCACGACAAATACCAATAAATAAATTTGAGCACCGTGTAAGGAAACATTATCAACTGTATCCATAAAATATCTTTAATTGTAGGTTTAGCATAAGCCCCTTTAATGTCCATTTTGTCCTCAATAACTTTTCGTATAACCTTCTCCATTTCCTCTTTCTGCTCTTTTTTATCCCTTCTTCCTCTTTTATCGTCTAACGATAGCAGTTTCTCTTCCTTAGCTATTTCTAAAGCCTTATTTCTATACTTTGGTACCGTCATGAAATATTTAATAGCGATATCGTACCTCTGCCAGCCGCTATAGTACTGTATAGCCGATATTATAGAGATCGTGACTATTATAACTATTCGTACATCTACCTTGGGTGCAACCCTTCTTCTGTAATACCTGTAGTAATGGGCGTAGTACTCATCGGGATTGTCCAGCATGTAATCGTAATCGGCTCGAGCTTCTTCATCCTTCAATATCTCGTAGGCATTGGCTATTTCTTTGAATCTCTCCGCCGCTTTTTCCTTGGCTTCTGGCGTCCTGTGAAGATCGGGATGGTACTGCTTGGCGAGCCTTCGGTAATTCTTGGATATTTCTTGCTTCGTCGCTTCCCTGGTGACTTCCAAGACATCGTAGCAATTTTCTTTGCCACAATAGAGCCCTTCCAGCAACTGTGCGCTGCTTAACACCGTTATATTTAATATAAATAGTGCGATAGCTACAAAGTGAGTCAACATACTGATCCACTTAATCCACTGCACGAGCGTATATTATTTATAACTGTTTCATTCGGAGCCACGTTTGAAATTTTATAGCGCTAATCGCATCGCTGACATTTTTACATAACCTTAATTACTAAATTTTGAAATCGACAAAAACCAGTAAAACCACAGACTGTTATAATTTCGATTATAGCGTGAAGCAGTGACTGAATTTACTATATCAATTGCATGCTAAAATTGTAGTAAAAACTAGCACATATGGCATTAATTGTGTTTTAAAAACATGAATAAATCAATTTTAGGAACTGCTAGCTTAAATCACAACAGGCCATGTTGTAGTGATTGTTATCAAAGAAAAGAAGATTCTAGTGGAATATTTTTTTATGTTGGTATTAATTGACAATTTGGTTTTAGCTTGTCCATTATAACCTAAAAATTGTAAATTTGAAATAAAATTTTACTGATATTTTTGAAATACACATCGAAATGGAGGAAATGGACGTTGACGAAAGTAATAAAGAAAACGGAACTGTGAGAAGAAGTAAACGAGCTTATACCAAATCGATGTACAGAGATCTTCTGCATAGGTTAGAAGATATCGGTAAGTGAACGCAATACAAATTAATACAAACTTATTTATACAAAATATAGTGCTTAAATGATAAATGAAGTCTCTACTTTGTTAATATTTGATGCTTTAAAAATAGTTCGAAATTTTACAACTAAATATATTGTAGAAACTTCGGGCGACATAGGTTTACAAACGATAAATGGAGTGAAGAAAGTTCTGAAAAAGGCCGACAAACTTGATAATGAATGGAAAATCGAAGATAGAGTAGCAAGAGCTGATGTAACATGTTTGGATGTGTCTGTATTGGCTTCGTCAAGTTCCATTTTGAAAAAATGCCTTAGAACTGTTGACATTTCTATGTGTACCTATGATGCGAATGAATTCAGCCAAGGCATTGTAAATGTTACCACTTAATGTATACTATGTTATATTAATCTCTTTTTTTGTAGATTGATAATGTTAAGAATGAAAATAACGAAGACATTTTACCTGGTGATTTGTTAAATCTAATGGATATCACTAGGTCAACGATTCCAGCCTTGTCTTATTATACCTACATTTATGGCAGTTACGATTTGGACAATTTACCGCAACCAAAAGTTAGGAAGGAAAGAGTTAAACAGCAAAGTCAAAAAGAAAAATTGCAGAAAAAAGAACCGGAGAAGGTGACAAACAGAACAAAGGAGGAAGAAAGTATAGAAGATATCGTCAACGTTTTATTTAAAGTACTAAATAAAGAATTTATAAAAAACAAGGAAGAACCCATAAAGTATTATGACTACATAATAGATACTGACGATTTTTCTAATACTGTGGAAAATATGTTTTACTTTGCTTTTCTGGTAAGAGATGGAAAGGCCAGTATAGATTTAGGTAAATATAACTGAATTATTATTATAACTGAATGCTAATCAAAAACAATCATTTATCAATGTAGTCTAACATCATTTTTGAATAGTTTATTTTGAGTAACTGGACATGTATATTTAAAAGTTAAAATATAACTTTTTGATTTTAGATAGTAAAGGTGAGCCTATAATAAAACCGATAAAAGACAATGTACTAATAAAATTTAGAGATGAAAATGGCGTAAATTCTCAAATTGTTAGTATAATAACTAAGGACCGATGGCAGGTACGGTTATTGCAGTATTCCTAATATTTTTATGTGAATGTATTTTTATTGCAGCGATTTCAAAAGCCTGGCTATTTGCAGAAATATAAGAAAACGTCTTCCAAGTAAACTCTTAAAATAATCTAAAAACTACAAAATTCAGATTTTCTATTGAACGAATCGATTATATCAGATTAATCACTTTTATTATTTTGATAATAAACTACAGTTATTTTTATTTGTGTGTTTTACGGTCATATTCACCAATTTCGGCTTGTCAACTTGATAACTGATAAAATTTAACAGTCGGTTAACAATATTTGTTATTCACCACGATATTTGAATTGAACAATTCGTGAAACTCTATTCTATATGCTCCATTATGTTTGGTATAAAATTAAAATGTTATATGTAGCTGTTAAATATTCGTAAAAACTTTGAAAATTTCGTCATTTGGATTGAAATTATCAGTCTGTTACTTCTTTCATCAGTTCTATAGTGCTCTCTTACTTTTATCTGACTGTTAAGTATTAACTGACATTGGTAAATGCCAAAATATGACGTTAACAGATTGATAAGTTATCTTTCTGTTAGCGATTTAACAGACTGGTGAATATTGGTTAATTCTTTTGTTATTATTTATTTATTTTCCATGCAGGTTCAAATAGATGTATTTACTTAACACCCCTTGTCATTTGGGGTTTTTCAAGGGGTGGTTCTGGGAACTAGAGAAATGATAAAAGAAATATAAGCCCACTGTAGGTTAAAATTGACCTGTTTTGACATTTTTTCAAAATTAGAACAAAACTTATTTGGAAGTTTGGAAATATTTGGAGTTGGGACACCCTGTAAGTATCTTGTTTCTTACCTGTTTGTACTAATAATTTTTCTAGACGCCACCTATATGGCTTAACGTACGTGTAGAAATTAACTGATATTTTGCCAGTGTCACCTGAATGTCATCAGCTGGACAATATTATCAACTTTTTTATAATTATTTTGGCTAATCTTTGTAAAAATTATAATGTTACAGCAGTGTTCAAGCATTCCGAGAAAATGATATTGTTCAAGATGGATGATATTACCTTGACGAATCAGTTTTCTGGCTGCCTTGAGATATTCGCGAAATTCAACAGCATCAAAGCAGAAAATTTTAAATACATAAAAACCCAGTTCTACAGGAAAGTAATAAAAAGCCATACGTTCGATGCGTCTGATGTATCAAGTGAACACCACAAGTATCAAACCGTTTCCATTCCCAAATCCTATTGTAATACGCCCAGGTTCCAACAAAAAGGAATCATTTTCATTTGGCCTCAGAAAAGAAAATTTTTCAGGTATCTACTAATATCAATTTTCACCTGTGCAATGAAGCCTCACAATTAACATTTCAGATATAAAGAATTAATTTACGTGGCGTGGTTTACGTCACATTTGCTATATTGGTTGTACATTGTGAATATTTTGCCCAGTGGAGGTGTTCTTCCACTCGAACAGCCCCCTTGGAATTTTGAAATTCTTCTAAGGAAGCCGGAAAACCGCGATTACATAATAGAACCTGATTGGGATTTAATATAAATTCATCAATAAAGATTGTTTTATTTTGCACACCGGTGTTCCTATAAATGCGAATATTAGAAAATAAAGGATAACCAACGGAGCCAGAAATTAAGTCAAAAATGAATGGACGTTCATTAGTAAGTAAATAGTAGTTAAATTATTAAATAGCCATTATCATAAAAAGCATTTCATGTATTAAGAAATAAGGTACAATATTTACATTAAAGATTACACATTTTTCATAAATAGTTCAAATAATAATACTTTAGCAACGTAATTTTAATCAATCATCAACAACAAGAGAATTACTAAAAATGGATATAAATAAGTTGACAAAAAATTTAATATAAAATTGGACAGTCTTGATCATACAGTAATCTCCAAATTAGATGAATGGATTTTGAGTTTTTAGATTCGACAAGCTCAAAAACCAATTCTCTAACTGTAAAGATTTCTGTAATTATTATAGTTTAGTATCGAACTTACACTCTTATATTACATTTAGTTGAATATAAACTTATTTAAGGGAAAACATTTATTTAGACACACTTCGCAAATTAGTGCCAAATTGGTCAAGATGACGAGCAATTTTTAATTCTTATGATTACGTATATACAGGCTGTCCCAATGAAAAGTAGCACATTTAATTAGCTTCTAATTTTTAAACACTTAATCATAAAAACATGCCGTTTACGCAGATATGATTTATCAAAATCTCTTTTAAATTCACAGTAACCAAATTTTATTAAATGCAACACCCCGTGTATGTAGAGGTATTCTGAAAGATACTCTCCTACTTTTAAAAAAAATATTATTTGTACATGTTATACATACATGGTGTACATTATACAAAAGAAGGTGTCCCATTTTATAAAATTTGGTTAATGTGAATTGAAAAGAAGAGTGGATTTTGAAGAAAAAACACCCTGTACAGGTGATACAAAATTTCTATATCGCTCTGTAACAAAAATTATAGCAAAATAAAAATTAAATGCGAAAACCGCATGTTTTTATGATTAAACGTTTAAAAGTTACAAGCTGATCAAACAGGCTACTTTTCATTGGGACACCCTGTATTTTACCAACAAGTTTGATAACATAATACCTCTGAAGCATAGCAATGAAAAATCACTCGTTATATCGAATTATAATCGGTAAGAATGAGCAAAGTATATTTTTCTTTCCTATAATTTTCGTGTTACAAAAATAAATTTTCGAAGTAATTTTGCCCTCGAAACGACAATAAAATTGTACTGTTGAATTTAAATTAATACAAAGTTCATCCAATAAGGCGATACTAAAACGTATGCCGAATTTAGTACAACACCTTGTATATTTAAAGTTTCGACCAATCCAATAACCGAATAGGACGGTATTCAATATTCAATCTAAATATTAACTCGTTGTTTGCATTTCATTTTTGTGTTATAAATATTCATTTACTTTGCGCATTCTCGAATCTACTTATGCAAAAACAGATCCACGTATAGAAAGATATGTTAGAAATCGATTTGAAAATATTTTTAATAAGAATCTAGAGTGTAATAGTAATAATAATATTCTAGAAAAATAGCTTGAAAAAATACTATTAACTGAATCACATATTATAACTAACCACAATACACGGTTCTCCATCACGTTCTCGAAACAAACAATTATGTACAAATTTAAAAACCACGGGTTTGTGAAACTTCATGTGTCGAATAAATAAAATAATGTATTATATTTCAGTCCCCATTTACCGTTTCTATGTTCGGCAAAATGATATCAAAATGAAGAGAAATCCACACAGGAGGCTTGCTAGTATAATAAATTTTTAATATTTCATGGAAGTTCGCTCTACAGGATAATTCAGGTTGTCTTGGAAGATAAGAATGTTTGAAAACCAACCCCAGTTTTTTCGAATTTACATTAATTTTATACTTTTATCAATAAATTTACAATAGGTGGTAAAGAGTCTTGCGCGCTTTATTTTTATATTATATTATATTTATATTATAATGTTACCTTTATTGTTGCCATCAACTAAATTATTTTACATTAGCTGCCAAAATTTCGAGAAGTCTTTCAGTCTGTCGTTTTCTCTAATCACGATAAAGACGAATCGATAAAAATCGAAAAAAACAATAAACTAACGTTCACAAATTTAACTCAATATGGCGATTATTTTACAAGTCATATTGACTTATCACTATGGCAACGCTTTCTTAGGTGTATTTTAGACTACTTGATGTCTCATGTAAAACACTACTGTCAAATTTCTGTCAAACAGACTGCCAATTTCAATATTTATGATTTCAGGTCGACAACAATAAAAGGCAACACTAACAACCAAATAAGATTAGCAAGATTAATTTGACTGCCGTCTAATTGTTGGTGAATAGAATGTTGTATATAATATTCGATTTAAAGTTTGCCTGTTTTAAAAAGATAATGGCCTCTATTCAGCGCCCCATTTTAACCTTAAATACGACTTTAAAGTCGCGTCTCTAACTTGACAGTTGTACATTGTTGTTATGGAGTAACTAGGGACCTCGTTTACGTTAAAATGGCCCTTTAGAGTGGTAGGCCCTGTCATTTGACTGGGGAATTCTACTACACGAGGTTGAAATGCTGATGCGTTGTTGCCATGTCGTTAGTATCAAAATTCCGCTCTTTGTAGTTGACACGTTTTGACTACAATTTGTTACTTTTGTGACTCTCCTAACGATTTCTTTCCTTTTCATCATTACTAATCGAGTAAAATAAAATTACCTCAATTTTTGCCATTTAAACATTCGTTACGGTAAATGGAGATTAAAATATACACAGGAACTACAATAACAATGATACTATAATCTAACTTAGTAACAAGTATGCATTTAATTGGGGAAGGCTCGTTTAAAAAAATAAAACCACTATTTCTGTTCGGCATTGTCTTTTCCATGACCATTTCCTTACAATTAGTATTCCCTCCAAAATATTACAGTCATGGAAAAAAGCGTGTTGTCAAAGAAACCACATCGAAATGAACAAAAAAATTGACAAAAATATTCTTCAATTGGACTAAAGAACTCCTTAACGAGTTTGTTTTGTACTATTCATAATAAATATTCATGTGATCGAATTTTAACAAAGCAAGTTCTTTTCTAGGTCGGTGTTAGATGGATAGACTCTGACATTATGTACCGGGCGACTGGAAATAGAAGCTGAATATTGCCTTTGATTTTTAACAATTTAGTATAATTTAGAATTATCGCAATCGATCATATAAACTTCCTTTTGAAAAAATTACAAATAATCCGTCAATAAATTAATAGTATCAGGTGCCCACGATAAAATAATAGCCAACGAACTAATAAAATTCATTTCCAATGACCCAGTAATTGTTTGGACGTTTATTTTAAACATTGTATGATAGTATTTCGACGGCTTATGAGCATTGAAACGGTTTGAATTTATAGAGTAAAAAGCAAAACTACGTTGGCGTAGAAAATGTGAACGATTTAAGAAGAGATTCAAGATTATTTCTATGTTGTTTTTGATTCCACGACGTTCCATCACGTGACATTTCATCACGGCGACGATTCATCACGACGAAAATCCAGAAAACGAATTAAAACTAATTTCTACCTCATCGAAACACGACCATGATAAAATTTTGTCTCCAAAAGTCTCGTTTTATTTTACATATTTTTTAAAATAGGTGGAATGAATAGTCGCTGTGATGAATGGTGGTAGTGATGAATAGTCGTGTGATGGAACGTCGGGATACGGTTTTTTTACGTCCGTTCTCTAAGTTTAACAGTACATTATTTGGCAATTGTACATATAAGTAAATATGTAAAAATTCATTTGATTATACGTTGAAATCTTCATAACATTGAATTTTTTGAGGAATTAGAATGAAGTTTGCTTCAACTGCACGAAATGTAGTTAATTAAGGCATGGAAGAACAGACATAAACATTCAAAATGTAATTAATTAATATTTATATGCGAAAATATTAACACCGAATCAAAATTATTAGTAAATTATTAAATAAATTAATTTCGTCAAAATCTAATATTTCGTTTTTTCAAACAATTTAATAATTTGAACCAAAATGCCGATGAAAATGAACTTAGTTTTGTAACAGTAATTTCCTTTATTTTTACAATAATGTAAATTTTACGCAAAGCAAAATGTTTTTCTTATATTTAATTTTCTCTTAATTTATTAACTATTGGCGTCATTTAATCTAGCAGAGTTTAATAATATTATAAAAAAATTTTCCGATTTCCGTTTCGTTTAAAACTAAGTTCACCCTCTTAAATTACCCTGTACGGATATTCTTAAATGACTACTGAAAATATCCTCACTATAGTTATTCATATCCTTTATTATCCTCGCAAAACGAGGATACGTTTTATTCCTTAACACATTTTTTTTACTCTTTAACGAGCACACCATCTTCCTCGCGAATTCCGAATACTCAAAAACCAACTTGTTAAAAAAGCAAATAAAAATCGTTCCTTAAAAAAATTAAAACACGTTACCCCTAAAATATTCCGTCTTTAAAAAACCCCAATTGCTGGAAAAATTATCAAAGTCTCCAAATCACTCGATTAGCTACTTACACCTACGTTTGTATATTATATTTTTTTATCGATATTTTTTCCACAACTCCCAAAAAATCGTTTCGTTCCAGTTTAATCGGAATCCTCCTCGACGGGTTGGTCCAAACCGGCCAGATCTGCGGGCTGAAGGTACCCCTTCATCTGAGCGTACTCTATAAGAGCCAAATGACAGAAGATATATTGGTCAGGCATCTGGATGGAATAGGCTCGTTGCGATCTTATCCTTTCCACTGTACCGCGAATGTCCGCCGTTCCCACATCCTCTAAACGAGATATGCAGATGTCTAATGTACAAAACGTACCTGCAAAAAAGAGAATAGTGTTTATTAAATATTTAAAATAAAACAAGACTTTTGGGGACAAAATTATCTCATGGTGGTGTTCCGATTAGGGTAGAAATTAGTTTTTATTTATTTTCTTGATTCTTTCTTAAACATTTTAAATTTAATAACTATTTCATTACATATTTATTTACACATGGTTAAGATAGAGTGTAGAAGCAAGTGGATACTCGATTGAAATATGTACTTTCAGGTTTTTAGTATAGCTATAGCTTGTCACTATCATCCCTTGTTAATATTAAATTAAATTCTGAAGGTATCAAGCTTAATCTATTTTGTGTATTTATTTATAAAAGTTGCGTATAATGCTTGGCAAGTATTACGACAGTAAAGACGTGCATTGATACATGTTTTGAACCAACTGCACATGTATTTTTATAGTAGTATTAAAAACTATTTTCTTAGGCCCGGTTGCTCGTACGCGGATCAACTTTGATCCGGAATTAAGCCGAGTTTAAAACTGAAAGCTGAATGAAAACTATGACCTCACCTGTTCTACCGATACCGGCGCTACAATGTACAACGATCGGAGGACCTCTCGGATGTCCTGCCCACGTATCACCTAATGCTACAACCATACTGGCCTGTTTTCTCCTGACCCTTTCCAGGAATTCTAACATTGCTACGGCGGAATCCGGAACCCCGTAATCCGGCCACGAAGTGAATTGCCAGTGTGAAACTTCACGTGTTTCTTCCGTCTGAAAATGAAATATGTATATTTTAATGATTTTAGTAACATTGATGTTACTACATGTTAGTACATGACTTTTTAGCGTTTTTCATCAAAAAGACAAAGAATTAAAAAAAAACAAAAGAATAAAAAAGTTTCAAAATGACCCTACATTATTATACCTATGAAATGGACTAATAATTTTTTAAATCATCCGTCAGGTTAAAAAATTCTTTAAGGGAGCATCATCCCTGATGAATTCATCAATTGATCTCCTCTAACTATCGATTAATGCTCGTCGTACACTTATACTAAATTTAGTAGTTTTAAGTTTGAGTATTACTAAGATATCAATTTTTTTTAATTTTTAACTCCACTTTAAAGGCATATAACTTCTTATGAATGTAACTTTATATTAAGTTGTTCTTTTAAACAATATATTTTGGGCTCCCCTACACACCTTGCTCTGTGTTGGTTCTTACGCGAGACACCCCGTATAATTATCTATTATAGAAACTAGAAATGCATACTCACTTTATTATTCGTTAGACTAATCGTAGTTACAGTATAATCAGTGTTCGTTTCAACAGCCTCAGTTTTAACCAAGAATTGACCATAGTGCACCTCACCGCCCACCTCGGGTTCCCAATATTGGTGGCATTTCGGCCTGCCTCTTTCCATAACTCTCGTTGTCATGACTATTACTAATGTGTGTTGTTCCCAAATCATTCGCCAAAAGTCTGGCGTCGTCTTCGGCAACGGACCTGGAATTATACAAAAAAAAAAACATATAGATTTTCACGTATATAAATGTAGCTACGAGGGCAAATCAAATATGAACCGCAATTTGCTTTTTGACACTAGCTATTTGAAGTGAGTAAAATGACGTCTTGATATATGTCGCACGGGGATGTAAAGTAAAGGTAAGTATAAGAGTAAGTATAAGAGCATAAGATTTGCCAAAATTTTGCGTTGAGTAACTGCACAGTTCACTGGAAACATGCCTTCAAGGATCCATGTCCACAATTGGCAAAAAAAATCTGGAAAAACCTGGAGGAGCAGCAATAGGACAAGCCAAAATTCGTCTTTCTGCTGGGAGAGTTCATGCAACGATTTTTTGGATTTGTAGGGGGTATGTTGCTCATAGATTTTCTCTAATGGTTGGCCCTGCTGCCAACTTTTTGATGAAGTGAAGTTGGTCTTTCGACGAAAAAGAGAGTACAAGCATATTCGAAGTGCTATTTTGCTCCGTGGCAACGTTAGATGTCTTAATTTAGGCCATGTTTTAATTTAAAGGATAATAAATATTCTTTAGATAATAAAGAATCCTGTTTAGTTAGACGGAACAAATCAAATGAAAAAATTTAAAAATCGATACAAAATGCAAACTATAATAAACTATAAATCAATGAAAGGCATTAAATATTTACGATATTTTGTCTAAATCTTTGCAAACAAACGAATTTTCTTGGCCTTTACATTGGCTTCGATAACAAAATTAATTTTATGATAGAATAAATTGCATTCGTATCATATCGTTTTTGTTTGTAAATTTCAATTTATTAATAGCAGCAAAGTATTTTAATTCAACCATTTCACCTGCGTTTGTCGTACAATTGTCGTATATTTATAAGGCCTGGAAACTTTCATCCGAGATGTTTTTTATAGTTCACCTGGGCACCACAACAACATCGCCGCCTACCGGTAGTTTTAGGAACTACGCACTCTCGCTACTAAAGTTTCCAGGCCTTAAAATATGCGACCGTGTTTAGAACCAAATGTCAACCATCTGTCAATTGACACAGAACTAATAATTTTCGACAATTTTGACAATGATGACATTGCGCGAAATATGGTGGAATAGGTTTCCTCAACAATAAATTAATATTATTTAAACAATTATATCTTACCTTGCGTATTAATAAAAGCATTTTTTTGCTTATAACCATCTACGAAATTGGCGTGAATGTAATCGCTATCTTTGTCATTTTCCAATTCGGACAGAATGACCCTACTATGATCGTAACACAGCACATCGGTATACCTATTTTTGGGCAGATTATTTTTCGATTTCGCTATGTTGAATGTTCCATCCGGAGGTCTAAGTCTGAAACAAATACCAAAGGGATGAATAAATAATTTTCAAGAAACATACATGACATATACAGGTAATAGATGCAAAATTGTTTGCAACATAAGACTATGGGTGCAACAAAGATGTGCAACTTCCATAGTATCGTATAAAGGAAAGAGAAAGAGTGGGCAAAATTGTGGAATTGCAAGTTTTCTCACTCCAATCGCTGTTATTTTAATAATATTTCTTTGTTGAACTCATAGAATTGACAATATTGCAAACATATTTGAATGGGTAATTGAAAAAAGGATAATATTCCAAAAATAGATAAGCGCAAAAATAATAACTTGTTTAATGCGCTGACCATTAATGGCAAATTTGAGTAATTCATCAATATTTTCCTATCCGAGGTCATAGTTTTATGCATTGTGACAGAAATTTTTCCCAAGAAACTAAACCCAAAGTTTCAGGTAAAACGGATAATTAATACAAATATACTTGATTTCAAAAGTTGTTAGTTCTGATACTTCAAAAAGTTTTCACATTTTTTTAAATTTTTTTTAAATTTTGGTGGAAAAAGATAAAATTTTTGTATGTACTTTCAAATACTAATAGCTAGTACTAATACCAAAGATTACCTTTTTCCAATCACTCATTCATTTGCTCTTACCCATATTTTTTATTATAAATGTATATTTTTTTTTAGTAACCAAGTACTCAACAACATCAATTTACTTCGCTCAAGTGTTTTTTATTTCTATTAATAAATAAACCCTTTTCACTTGCCAATGACTTATTTACATCGATTTTTTCAGTGAACATGTTTATAAAACAAAATTTTAGAGGAAAGTTATTTTTATTCCCAGTATTTACCTACATGACTATTTTCGATAATTTCTATTCGAATGAGAGAAAAAACAAATCTAATAATTTCTAGAAAAGTTGCCAAACCGATAATAATATTCAATTGAAAAATACAATAATACTAACACGTCGATTCCTACATCAACGTTCGTTGACTTGCCCAATGTAGCACTTTACATTTCTACAAGTAGGCTTACCAAGAAGAAGCACTTACAAGAGATAAGTACGGGTAATAAAATCGTCAGAGGTTCATTACTAACGTGTTATGTAACATGTTAATTTCGTGTTAATTCACTCAACTACAGAGTAACAATAAATTTGTTAAACAACACAACCACCTCAATTATCCACATAGAATATACATAGAGCAATCAAATATTTTTTGTTTTCAATGAAATTACTCTACTCTGCTCTCTCATCTCATCTTCATTCTCCTCTCCTGCCTTATCTCATTTAACCTCTCCTCTCCTGCCTCATCTTATCTAACCTCTCCACTCATCAAGTCTCTCCTCTCCTCTCCTCTCATCTCCTCTTTCTCCTCTCATCTTCTTTCTCAACTACTCTCCTCTCCTCAATTCCTACTCTACTCACCATCTAGAGTACGTAGTCTCTTGGCTTCATGATACAATATCTACATAATTCTTTATGTAAGAGCAACAAAAGAAAGTTACCTAATTTCGGCGTATTCCTGCATAAGACCCTGCCGCCTCCTCTGCCTCACGTAATCGACCAATTGCATGGCCGTCAGGGCGGCGCCGTCGCCGTGCAACGAATCATCGTCGGAGAAGCCGCTCGACGCGCTGCTCGGCGGATTCAAATTCGCCTCCTCCGCCCAACTGTCGACGCCGTTGCCGGAGCCCGAGATGTCGATGTCGCTGGGGGCCGAGATGCGTTTTTGGGGCGACGGTGTTTTACCATCTGGAATTAAAATAAGAGAAAAAAAATTAAAAACGCTAAAACGGTATTCAGTGGATACCTAACCATCCAGTGCATTATTTTTCACAGGAGTGGTGTGGAGAGTAGAGGAGATCAGAGAAGAGAGCAGAGAGGAGAGCAGTGCAGAGCGGAGAACAGAGAGGTGAGGAGAGCAGTGCAGAGCAGAGAGGAGAGCAGTGCAGAGCGGAGAAGAGAGAGGTGAGGAGAGCAGAGCAGAGCAGAGCAGAGAGGAGAGCAGAGAGAAGCGGAAAGCAGAAAGGATAGGACAGCAAAGAGCAGAGCAGAGCAGAGCAGAGCAGAGCAGAGCAGAGCAGAGCAGAGCAGAGCAGAGCAGAGCAGAGCAGAGCAGAGCAGAGCAGAGCAGAGCAGAGCAGAGCAGAGCAGAGCAGAGCAGAGCAGAGCAGAGCAGAGCAGAGCAGAGCAGAGCAGAGCAGAGCAGAGCAGAGCAGAGCAGAGCAGAGCAGAGCAGAGCAGAGCAGAGCAGAGCAGAGCAGAGCAGAGCAGAGCAGAGCAGAGCAGAGCAGAGCAGAGCAGAGCAGAGCAGAGCAGAGCAGAGCAGAGCAGAGCAGAGAGGAAATGAAAGGAATGAAAAGGAAAGAACATTAAATAGTTCTGTAAATAGTTGCCATAATTGCCCAAAGATGAAGTTAATGAAGAACTTACCTGGAAGCTTTTCATATTTTAACAACTTCGGGTAGCCGTAATTAGGCGATTTCTTATCCGGTAGATAAAATAAACGCACGGTCAATATTAGGAAACCCATATTGAAATATCACTATTATTATCTGCGGGAGTAGAATCATACAGCGCGAAGTTAGCAACAGTTATTATTTGCAACTGGATAGGTTTTAATTTAAAGGAGCTTGCTTTGATGGTTTATATGGAAGTCGACGCGGATTTTCTTATCTGATAAAAAGGATGATACGAATAAATATTTTTCTTTGATTAAGATTCGAACGGGACTAAAAATATCCGATTAAATACCTTATTGACGTCAACGATTGAATTTTTACTAGCTAATGCAAATTTTTGCGAGTTTCAATAAGTCTAACAGAAAAAAATAGATTTTGAATGAGCAAGTTGAATGAAACGTTTATAGTGACGGATTTAGAGTTACACTTGATTTAATCAAATATTTGTTATATTTTAGATCTCTCATAAATTACAGACACAAGAGGAGGCGCAAACATAAGAGGATTTTACAAGTGTTCAGAAATGTGGATAAGTAGAGCATACCGATAAACTGGAAAAACTTAATGGGTTTTATGAACCAAAACCAAACTGAAAACTAGTTATTTTCTAAACCAAATTACAGCTTTGTTTTTTATAAATAACTTACCATAAATTGGCGGCGACTCGGCCCTCGTACTAGTCATTGACAGCACGCAGTGCGACAGCCAACCATTATGGTCCAGGACTAGGGAGCCCCCCAGTTGGGTGGGCAGGGAATCCCTCGGTATGTGACTGGACAACTGCGCCACCGAGACCGTGTACACTCTTTCCCTTAGCTTCTCGCGGACGAACAAACGAAGTATTTTAAATGGCGCCTTGAACCATAAGGGGGCGGTAACGATGAGCACCTTCTTCAGCTTAGCGGGATAACCACCCTGAAACAAAAAAAACGATGGTTATAGACAGTTCCAAACATTTCCGGAGCGAACTAAATGGTTCTAGACAGTTCTAAATGATTCCGGAGCATTGTAGATTGCTCTACACAGTTCTAAATATAAGGTTCCGGGGCATTCTGAATGGTTCTAGAAAAGTCCTAAATATTTTTGGAGCATTGTAAATGGTTCTAAATGATAGACAACTCTAAATAATTCTGGAGCGTTCTAAATGGTTCGAGGCAGTTCTAAATGGTTCGAGGCAGTTCTAAATGGATCTGTATATCTATAGTATCTGTATAGTTCTAAATATCTATGGAGCGTTACCAAAAATGTATTACTCCCACTATCCTATGTTCTTTGCACAAAACCTAATAAACTAGTGTAATTATGCATTACTAAGTAAATCACATATTTGACAAATTTAAACAATACTACAAGAATTTACTAGCGACCACCATCATTAAAGCACTTTATCGATTAAATGAAATTTAAGGAATTTATACGAAAAATGTTCTTCACACGTTTGACAAGTTAGTTTTAAAAGAACTTCTAAAATATGTACGGTTTTTAACACGCCATCATAAATTGTCTTGGAAAATTATCACCGCACGTTTCTTGGAAATTCAACTGATGTTTTGCGTTCTAAAAATCTCCCAACATTAACGTTTAATCTATTGTTGTGAAACGATTGCGATTTAATTTTTAATGGCATAAATTTCGCATCATTTAGATTGATTTATTCTCGGCGAAAACAGCGCTCGTTGGATTTTCCTATCGCATGATGTTACATAAAAAACACTTCCAAAAAGTTTAATTATAACAGAGAATTACTTACACGCTACTTGTGCAAATATTTTACAATACACACAATAATCTCGTGAATTAGAGAGATCAAAACCGCGAAATCGCGCACTAAAAGTTACAATTTTACCGAACAGAAATGCAGAAGTTGCAATTGTAGCAACGAAACTCGATGCAATAGGGTGAGCAACCCGTTAGAACTGAGGGATCCGGGATGTGCTCCAGGTGCAGTTTACAGTTTAATCCAATAGAATCCCTTGGATTGGTAGGGGATGAAAAATACACAGTCGAGTAGTCTCTATTAAATATGGACCCGCACGTTATTTTGTACAGCCGCATTAGAGCAAACTTTGCATTGTGATTGATGGTGATTGAAGTTTGAATCGCTAGCGGTAAATTGAATAAAAACGAAATCGCCCGTGAAACGATTTGTATTATTATCAAATTTCGAAACACGCGAACGAAACTTAAACTTCCCCGTTATCGTGCAATAAAATATCTCGAGCTAGTCGTAGCGATTCGATCAAGTCTTCCAGAAAAAGCGCTTTAAAACGAGGATAAAATGCGAAAAGCGCGCACAAAGAAAGGTTGGATCTGATAAACAAAAAGCCTCAACGTTGGACGAGGGAGATTTCTCGGACAGGACGTATTGCACTGACGATGAAAAACCTATCTTGCAATTTTTGCAATGCCATTGTTCACTTTTATTTGCACATTGTGTACGGATAACATTGTAATTTCAAATTTGAATGCCTAGAACCATCAATATTTGTATTACATTCAACCTTTATAAGCTTCGCAAATACGAGCAAAGATAGATCATTACAGTGTAGAGAACTAAAAATTAAATGGGCCTCCTAGTTTTACGAAATACGCCAGAATTAACCCCGGTTTACGCCTCAAGTGGTCTAAATTAGTCCTAATACAAACTGGGAACAAGAATTATATGGGAAGTATCTGGTGCAGTTGGCGACCGGCTGTTAAAAACCCGAAACAAGGGGAGAAACTTCGGAAACTCTGGGGTATGAGTCATGCAATGTAGATGACATAACAGTTAGGTAAGATACGGAAATGCGAGTATACTGCTGTGTAGCCCTCCGCTGAAATTTCGACCAATGGGAAATGGATAACTATGCATTGGAATCGATGAAAGGAATTTCGCTTAGAGTCCATCTTATTTAAACGAGAGTATTATTAGATTGCAGGAAGCTAACGAGCGTTCCTGAATTTATGGCTGTGTTTGTTTGTAAAATATCTGTCGAGTTGAGTAGATAAAATAATAAGTAATATTTAAGAATTTACACCTCTGGATAACCTTAGATACTATAGTTATCCAGACCTTTTGTAGTGTTGAAAATGACAAATCTTATCACAACTTCCATTTAGCTACTCGGTATATTCTTTTCGATTTTTTAGAAAACATCCATATTCTTTCTAATTAAAATTTAGGCGAAGCACAACAATTTTTTTTTCCACGAAATTTCCTATCGATTAGGCCCAATTATTTCGAACAACCTACTGGTTTAGTTGATATGACCTTGTAAGTATCAATTTATTTTCTGTTATATTATTAAGTATAGGTGCTCATGGATACACGATATTATTTAGTCATTCGTTAGTTCAAGTTCAATGTTACTATCTTGTTAAAAAAATATCTGCGAAGATTTATTCTCAAGGATCAAGGATAATAGGAATGCCATATGGAGAGAATCGAGAGGATATTTACTTTATAAGTCATAGACAACATTGATCATTGATAGTGAGCAGAAATGACTAATTTATTAGTACAAGTACATGCTTAAGTATGTAATTTTGGTGTTTGTAAGGATTAATTCAAGGCTGGTCGTGGAAGCTGGTGTTTAATAAAAATATTTACACGAAACCTTTCTCATTTTTTTCTACTAAAAATTCATAATTTTTTAAAGAAGAGTACAGAATAATCAACATTTTTGGAACAAATTCCTGCTGTACAGGGATCTTTTCTAACCCTTGCAAGGTAACAGTCCAAAAAGTCCGAAACGATTCGTAAAAATTAAAACACCGAAAAGCCGAAGAAACCACGGAAACAAAGAAGATATATTTGACTTTCTAAACACTTATTTCCTACAATTGGAATACTCATTCGGTATGCAAGAGAGCCAAACACGGAACACGGGCGGCATTCTGTGTGTTTATTATTCGAGTAGTACTCGAAGTAGCGAACTTGCGGCCCGGATTTATCTTTGAAACTTTAAAATTACGCCGCTTTTACATTCGAGAACTTCTAACGACCGTCGAATTAAATTCAGTTTCTTCAAAAATTATGTCCTGTTACTTAACCAGCGGCATGTAAAAGTCATTACGTGGTTTCCAATGTTATAATGCGACAGTGAAAATGCATAATATTACAAGAATTAAAAAGAAAAATCTATAATAATAATAGGAATACTATTAACAATAGTAGATAAAAGCAATTGTTACTCACAAGTTCATAAATAAAATCCAGAAAGTTTGAATTTTTATACAAAAATTTACTGTTTTAAGAAATGCAGCGTGTTCAATACCGAAGATTGATATTAAAATTTTATTTTTTAGAAATCTCTATAGATTATTAGTGGCAGACCATCTTGACAAAATTTCTTATTATTTTTTATGAAACAATTTTTTATTAACGAAATGTTAATAGAATCCACTCCAATTTATTACGAAGTATATATTTTAAATAATTAGTATAGACTTGTAAATATTTATGATCTATAGTCGCTAAATAGAACGTATAAGCTACTAAGATCGGTACCTACTCGGTGATTTAATTTTATTGGAAACACGCGCACAATATTAATTAATTATTATCAAATTCATGTTGTTAAAATAGAGGGAATTAGAGGCAATATAGCGAATATTGAGGTTTAATGGGGAATTCGGTTAATATTTGTTAAAGTCCTGTATTTTCCAGTTCAAAACTAATGAGATTTATGACAAAAAAACCAACATATTTACAGCTTAAATGAGATGTAACCAACAATGTAAAATTTTTAGAATTGTGAAAACCTTGAAAACGCTAAAATAGCCAACACGACCTTAATTACCTTAATTAGCGGACGAAAATAATCTATCGAATAAAGTCGGCTCCTGGTTATACCTACTGAATCGTTTTGCGTAACTTCACTAATGAATCACAGAAAACTGAAAAATATGAAAACACAAACATTCGACAACGCACCAGATCGAGATGATCCTACATCCTATAAACAAAACAAGTGAAAATAACCTTCGAAAACAACAGTGAAAACACAACAATCGGGGAATCGCGCGTGTAAACGCACATGATACATGACTAATAAAACCAGAGTTGGCTAAATTGGATAAAACGACCAGCCGTTGTTTATAATTACAACGTTGCCAACTGTCGATAAAATACCAAAATTATGGGTTAATAGCAACATAACCTGCAGACCAGAAAATAAACCTCGAATATCAAATAATTATCATAAACCCACTAATTTGCAACCAAATTTCATCCAACAAAAATCCTCAATCTAAAATTAATGGTTCGGTCTAATTGCCAATTAATCTCAAAGAAGTAATAAATTATGCAAGATAAATACGCACTGGCCCATTACAACCATACCAGTCGAATAAATTCATTCATCTATTCACTCTATTATATGAATGAAAGAATTGCAACACCGTCTAATACGCTATTTTTTAGCATATGAATGAAAATGGAAGTTAAATAATTATTTCAATGTTGGCGTGTTCTGTGTGTCCGGAGTCAAGGTCGGGAAAAGGTTAATTTTCAACGTAGATTTTTTTTGAAACTCGCTCAAGAATCGAAACTGAGACGCTCGAATCTCTATAACACATGGAATTTTGCTTACGATGTGTTACCAAACGAATGATTGACGTGCAAATTCTCGATTAAGGCAGACTGGTCATAAAGAATGGATTGTTGTCGTAGGGCACAAATGAACGATGAAAATGCCTACGGGTGTATTTCAAAATGAACTTTGTTCAGAAGAGGAATATAAGTAAAAATGTATACCGAGTGATTGATGAGTGGGGCTACTTTTCATTGGGACACCCTGTACTTTACAGGAGAACAATTTAATAGCGGTAGTGTATGTTGATAGAGAAGAAAGAAGAAGAGATGAAATGTTGGCAACAACGTTAGGAAATCCCCCATTTAAAAGGCCCTATCAACGCTCATATCTCAATAT